GGTCCATGTCCCCCGTCGTGAGTCCCATGTTGTAGGCAGCGGTGCGGGATCTCAGAGCGTCGCGGATGGTTTTATCCACCCACGGCTTCTGGTTGGGAAACGTTGTGATAGTCTTTGTCTCCACGGTATCATCCGCTAGTTTCCCGATGAATCCCACAACCGCTTCCGTAAACACGTTGACATCATCATCGGAGCTGTTTCTGAACATGCCCCAGTCTGCGTCATCGAGTGCGTCCTTTAACGCGGCCACCGATTGATCAGTCCAGCGCGCGATCTTCCTCTGAACCGGAACTTCCTGTTTTAGCCTTTGTTTGTATTTTGGCATGAGGAAGATGGCGGCGTGATCGTATTTGCCAAAAGGAGGGCGGGATTGTGCCTTGTAGCCATCCTTGACCGTAGTGTAGCAGTGGTCCAGTGTCCTTTCACCTCTGGTGGGGCAGGTGATGTGTTGATAAAAGTTCGGCGCTGCACGTTTGAGGTTGGCACTATTAAAGTCCCCCGTCACAATAAGCGCAGCGTCCCGGTGTTGTGTCTGGTGCTGTGTGAGTGCCTCATGCAGCCCGCATAAGGCGGTGACCGTGTCCGCTTGTGGTGGAATATAAACGGCACTTACAATGACCGATGTAAATTCCCGAGGTAGATAAAAAGGACGACACATGATGGACAGTAGTTCCAGATTTGGTGTGCAGGAGCGTGTGAGAGGAACAACGTTCGCACTGTTGCACCAGTTGTTGTTCACCATTAAACACACGCCGCCTCCCCTTGACTTCCCCGAGTCCCGTGTCCTGTCCATGCGGTGAACCGAGAAGAACTCGGCCGTCTGGATGGCATGGTCCGGCACCGCTGGGTTCAGCCATGTCTCGGTGAAGCAGAGGAGATTGCAGTCCCGAATGTCTCTCTGGAACTTTATCCTGGCCCTGAGGTCATCAAGCTTGTTCTCCAGTGACTGGACGTTGGCGAGCAGGATGCTAGGCAGAGGTGTGCGGTGTGCACGAGCTCTCAGCCTGTTCCTAACGCCGGCTCGCTTCCCTCTAGGCCGCCGCCGCCGCTTCCCTTTTTTCTCCCTCAAGATCTCACTCGGCCAGCTCGGATCCGGAGTTAAAAACTTCGAATTGTGAGTACATTGTATTCCAATAGAAACAAGAGTGTCACTGTCATAAATAATGTACCCAATGGTGATGATTTTGCCTATTTAGAGACGCTGAAAACTAACTTAAAAAACAAAGACAAAGAAAAAGTGGTCGGAGCAGTCGTGACGGCAGCCGACCTCACCGGCGCCAGATTGCAGAACCATGCTCCCATCCACCCAAGGGTAGGATGAGGATGGCTGGATACTTTAATTTACTTTTACTTTGGCTCTTTAGAGTTGCTATAACACAGAAGCTATCACCACAAGGAAATTGCACCTTTGAAAATATTAACTTAACTAATGGCAGTTATTTTTAACACTGACAGTAGATCCATCACGGATGAAGCAACGACAAAATAACAAATAGTTTTGTACTTGATTAAGATTAACTACATTCTATGTATGATCTATGATCCAAGATGGCGCGGCCACGTCCAGACGCCTTCCTGACCGCGCCGCTCCGACTATCCACTTTTCTTGTTTTTTACTTATTTTTTGCTCTGGTTTACATCCCAAAATCCTCTAGTCTTATAGTATACGACAGCGGATCACTTGCAAACATCGGTGCCAAGGTTGCACATCTAATCTTGGACACTTTTAAACCCGACCCTTCCTGGCCGCCAGAGATTCTACGCGGCGCGGAGAACAACAAAGGACAGGCCGCTCATCCGAGGCGCAGAACAAAGAAGCGCCGGCGAAAACGCGCTGGTATTAGGAACAGACTGAGACAGCAGGCGCATCGCGCACCACTGCCCAGTATCCTACTGGCCAATGTACAATCCATGGAGAACAAGCTCGATGACCTAAGAGCAAGGGTCACCTTCCAACGTGACATGAGGGACTGCAACATTCTGTGCTTCACGGAGACATGGCTGTCCCCCACCGTGCCGGACCAGGCCGTAACTCCGTCGGATTCATTCTTTGTGCTCCGCGCGGACAGAACGGCAGAGTCGAACAAAACCAAAGATGGAGGAGTGTGTTTCATGGTAAACAGAAAGTGGTGTGATGCCAGGAGCATTTCTACTCTGTCCAGCGGCTGCTCGCCACATCTGGAGTTCCTGAGCATTAAGTGCCGCCCTTTCTATCTGCCCCGTGAGTTCACCTCAGTCATCACCACGGCGGTCTACATCCCACCCCAAGCGGACACAGGTATGGCTTTGTCTGAATTACATGATGTGCTGAGCTCGCTTCAAAACAAGGACCCGGGCGCAGCCCTCATTGTAGCAGGAGACTTTAACAAAGCGAACCTCAGAAAAGTCATGCCAAACTTTTACCAGCATGTCTCGTGTCCAACTAGAGGGGATCGGATTTTGGATCACTGCTACACGCCATACAAGCAGGGCTACAAAGCTGTCTCACACCCGGCTTTTGGGAAGTCTGACCACAACGCCATCTTCCTCATTCCCCAGTATAAACAAAGCATACGGAGGGAAGACGTGACCACGAAGGAAGTAAAACGGTGGACTGCCCAATCAGAAGCTACGCTACAGGACGCACTCAACAACGTAGACCATCAGAGCATGCGCAGTCGACATCAACGAGTTTACGGAAGTAGCAGTATGCTTTGTCAATATGCTAGCGGAGGAGATTATCCCCACTGCGAGAGTCACCACATTCCCAAACCAGAAACCGTGGATGGACAGATCGATCCGCACTGCAGTAAACGCCAGGACCGCCTCCTACAACGCGGGTCTCGCCACTGGCGATATGAGCGCCTACAAAGCGGCCTCATACGGCGTGCGGCGCGCGGTGAGAGATGCCAAACGCAGGTACCGGGAACGTGTGGAGTCCCGCTTCCACCAGGGCGACACACGGAGTATGTGGCACGGACTACGCACCATTACGGATTACAAAGCCAGGGACACTGCGCCGATCAACGCCGACTCTGCATTCACCAACGAGCTGAATTGGTTCTACGCCCGTTTCGAGGTTAGCCAGGCGGCTAATGCTATCTACCGCCTGACTACCGAGGACAGTGACGTCATCAGCGAGAGACCGGTGACCAGCATCGCGGAGCATGACGTCCGAGCGGCACTGAGGAGAGTGAACACAAGGAAAGCGGCGGGGCCAGACGGCATCACCGGCCGTCTGCTGCGCTGCTGTGCTGACCAGCTAGCAGGTGTGTTCACTTACATCTTCAACGAGTCCCTGGCGAAGTCTGTGGTCCCCACATGCTTCAAAAGATCCACCATCATCCCTGTGCCCAAGAACAGCAAACCCTCATCCCTGAACGATTACCGGCCAGTTGCACTGACCTCGGTAGTAATGAAGGTGTTTGAGAGGCTGCTGAAGAACATCATCTCCTCCGCCATCCCAGACACCACAGATCCGCTGCAGTTCGCCTACAGATCCAACAGATCCACAGAGGATGCCATCGCCCACGTCCTACACACCACTCTCAGCCACGTGGACAAGAAACAGGGTAACTATGTGCGAATGCTGTTTGTTGATTACAGTTCAGCGTTTAACACAATAGTGCCCTGCAGACTGTTCACAAAGCTGAGGGATCTGGGACTTAACAGCCGTCTGTGTGCATGGGTGTTGGACTTCCTCACTGGCAGAACTCAGGTGGTGAGGGTGGGCAGGTGCTTCTCCAACAGCATCACCATCAACACAGGAGCACCTCAGGGATGTGTCCTCTCGCCACTGCTCTACTCCCTCTACACTTCAGACTGTGTGGCCACCCATGGCTCCAACACCATTGTGAAGTTTGCTGACGACACAGTGGTGTTGGGTGCCATCTCCAACAACGATGAGGCGGCCTACATGGATGAAGTGAAGAATCTGGCATCGTGGTGCCAGGACAACCACCTCCAGCTGAACGTCAGCAAGACCAAGGAGCTGGTGGTGGACTTCAGAAGGGGTCAGCACAGAGACTACAAGCCCATTATCATCAATGGAGCTCCAGTGGAGATGGTGCAGTCCTTCAAGTATCTTGGTGTCCACATCTCCTCAGACCTGACATGGGCTGCCCACATTCAGGTCCAGACCAAAAAGGCTAGGCAGCGCCTGTATCACCTACGACAACTGAGGAAGTTCAGGGTCTCTCCAAAGATCCTCAGGATTTTCTATACAGGCGCTGTGGAGAGCATCCTCACACAGAACATGACATCGTGGTTCAGGAACAGCTGTGTGAAGGACCAAAAAGCTCTCCAGAGAGTGATCCGTACAGCAGAACGCTGCTGCAGGATTGCTCTCCCCCCGCTTCAGGACACCTACACCAGGAGATGCCGGACTAGAGCAGCGCAGATACTGAAGGACCCGTCCCATCCTGGCAACAAACTGTTCCAACTTCTGCAATCTGGTAGAAGGTAGAAGGTGTGTGTGTGTGTGTGTGTGTGTGTGTGTGTGTGTGTGTGTGTGTGTGTTCTGTAACACAATCTTGATGCGCTCAGGGTAGGCCCAGCAGAAGATGTTCGTTGAGGGCCTGGCCTTGGAACTGGAAAGAACAGTTAAACACAAGGCAATCTTTGCCATTGTGGCTAACAAGGGGGTGAGGGATGTACCATGACTCATCTGTTTGAACAACCTCAGAGGGGGACACCTTAACCACCGAACCGGCCTGGACCAACTTCTCTATCTCCGCCCAGTAGATCTTAGCTCATTCTGGATCTTTCTGGAGCCTTCTCTCCACGCTTCTCAAACTGGGAACAACAGCGTTAGGGCTAGCTTTAAGGTGTGGCATGTTCTGGCGGCGAAGGAGTGGGGTGGCATAGCGTTGGATGCCCTCGAGTTCTACACGAACTGTCTTCTGCTCTAGCAGGCTAACTGCATAGTTATCCTCTCTTGAACGGGTAACCACCTTGCCTTCTGGCACTGGGATGACATCTACCTACCATAACTTCTCTACATGTTTGAGTAGCTCACTCACCTGGGGAGGAATAGCAGTTGTGAAGAGGCACTGTTGTGGCAGCGAAGAGGAACCGATAAGGCTGGAGGGACCCTGTAGTGTCCACCCTAACCTGGTGCGCATAGCAGCGGGACCACCCGGTGGACCAAGATGGACAGCTTCAGTTGCAGTGATGAGCTGTGGGTGGTCACTGCCAATGAGAAGGAGAGGTTTGACCTTCTTGAAGGCCTGGAGAGGCAGGCCTCTGTGGTGTCTCTACTTCCGCTGCAAGGACTCCACATCATCCAAAACTATGTGAGTGCTCAAAGTCTTGCCATTATGGTGAAGGATGACTGGGACAACCTTTAACAGGACTTGGCCGCTCTCTGTAGGACGATCGAGGTACAGGACGCCCGTAGGATTCTCACCTCGTGGGGGAGCAGACACTGGGCCATGTGTCTTTAAGGGCTTAGAATTCACGTCGTGAAGGACCTGCAGATGACGACCCTGACACAGGCTGCAGGGTTTCTTGAGGGTACACTGTGCTGCCTGATGGGAGCGAGCGCAATGCCAGCACCTCTTGTTGGTCTTTATCCAGTCTGTGAGCTGTTCGCGACTCAGCTTGATGACCTCCTGACACTGACTCAGGTGATGGGCACGGTTATCGCAAAAGGCACAGTAGGGCTGCTGCCTAGCTTTGTTTGGAGTGGTACCTAGTGACCTGGGTGAGCTCTCTACACTGTGAAGAACCGCAACAGAGCGCTTGCTTGGTCTGACATCAGGCTTCTCTCTGGTGATCGTTGGCGTGGGCAAGCCGTCATAGTCCTGACACCAGGATTCGTACTTTAACCAGGTAGCCAGGTCGTCCAGGGTGTAAGCCTGACCAGAATGGTTGTACATGCACCAACGGAAATCAGCTCTTTGCTCTGAAGGAAGCTTACTAAGAAGTCGAGCCACATGGGAGCCACACTGGAGTTCGACCTCCCCATCAGGGCCTAAAGTCTTCAGCATGCCCACGAGCGACTGGATGTGAAGAGAGAATCGCTCGAATGCGGCTGCATCCCCTCGGCGGATGTCAGGTGAGTCCATGACAGCAGCAGTTCTCCTCAGGGCAAGCTGGTGAGGCTGCCCAAGCCTGTCGTTAAGAGTATTCATGGTGTCACTGAAGGGCGTGGCAGAATGGAGGTAAGCGTCCGCTATCAACTTTGCTTCCTCCAGGTGTAGGTGATCTAACAAGACTTGGTACCTGAAGAGCTCTGAACTCTCCGGGGGCAATAAGTTCTCTAGCGCCATCTTTAGACGAGCAAATTCCCCAGGATTACGGCGTGTGAGCTTGGGAATGCTCGGACGAGGCCCCCTGTAGGTCAAATCTGGGGCCACTGCTAAGCCGGGGGTCTGTACATCTGTGAGGGCCAGAAAGGAGTAGATGAGGATGGAGGTGGAACTGGCAGTGGTTGCAATGGAGGGGGGTGTGCTCTTGGAGGCGGCGCTGGAGGGTAGGTGGTCCTTGGCTGAGGAGAAGTGAACCCTGGCTTAGATTCATGTGGGGGGATGATCTGACTCTTCTGTGCAGCCATAGACTCCCTCTTCAGATCCTGCAGCTCTTTCATCATCGTATCGATGCGGTCCTCAACTGGACCCTGGCTGGAGACAGACGCCTCCTTGAATTCAACAGGAGGTGGTGGTGGAGGCCAGTCCTCTTCCTCTTCAGCAGGGGGTGGCTGGAGATGAACAACAGGGGCTCTGTGCGGTGGACTGAGCTGCAGACTCTCTGCACGGTCCAGCAGCTGCAGCAAACTAGTATGAAGGGCCTGGAAATCAGCCAGCCCGGCTCTCATCTGGTCATGGGACTGCTGGAACAGGAACCTTTCACCTTGTATATCTTCTAACTTTGCTCTCAATGGTGTGACATGGCTGTGTGAGCGGTCATCAGAGGGGTCAGACGGAGGATGGTGGAAAGAACGGGTGTCGCCTCCTGTCTTACTTTCCTCCTGGTAACCTGCACCAAGCCCGGGGAAGTCAGTCTCATAAGCTTCATAGCGGAGGGGGCGACGTATATTACGCTGTGGGCGTGCACCAAGGACTGAGAAATTCTGAATATCATCCATCTTGTTAGGGTAGAAGCAGCTTACCTCCGGCTCGAAGGACCATTAATGTTGGGTAGATAACTTGGACTGGGAGGACTGTAAGGTGCTAGTTCAGATTTGCCGCTACCACTCCCCGGAGTGTCGGCCAGAACACTGCTCAAGGCCCGGATGAATGTTCAGAAGGGAGACAATGAAGACACCGAGGATAGTGCAGACTTTTGTATTGACTTTACACAGTTGAAGGTAACAGGGATTGTCAGAGGAGCAGGTATTGCATACAGGCTTAGGTGCGTGGGCATGTGTATGTGTATGTGTGTGTGTGTTCTGTTGCTCATTAACGCACACTTCTCACGGAATGACAACTTCTCTGCTGGTAATCTGGAGCAGAAAAGCTCAGGTGCCTTGCCCACGTTTCTCCCTGCCCATAGTCTCTCTCATACAAAGCGGTGGGGTGACCTCTAATGGCCACTCTAAAAAACTACAGGTGAACTAACAACTGAACGGAATAAAACCGTAACCTTTTGTACAATCTAATTTGATTAAACTTTTTTTAATTTCAATTTTTATTTTATTTTTTTAATCATAAATATGACATACAATTAGCAGGACAGTCGGCAATACCCTGTTAATAGGAACTACAATCGCCTTCCACCTCTCATTCATGTGCGTCCTACGGCTCTGCAAGTCCCACGGTTCATGCCTCTGTCTCAGTGTTAAGTCTGTGTCTCTGTGTTATACTTCTTGTTTCTTTGACAGTCTGTTTTTTTCATTGTATCCTGCTTCGCTTCCTTTGTCTTGTTAGGTCTGATCACTCCCAGCTGTGCTTACACAGGGGAGAAAAGTAGTGATATTTCCTATGTAAAGTACTTTTGAGCGATTGGATGTGATTGCTACTGCTTATCATGTCCAGGATGGTGGACAGTTCTTGACCGAAGTCCACATGATGTCATATGAAAAACTTCTATGCCAACCCCTATATGAACTGTGATTGGATGAGACCAATGAAAACGTAGCATTCTTTTGATACTTAAAGTGTTTACCCTAAGCTGTTTGGGTTTGGGTTGTGCTTTTTTCTTAACAAATGTGTCCAGCTGATAAAGATTTAAAATATATTTGAAAGGCTATTGCTTGAGGCTGAGGTGTTGTTGTTGTTTTACTTCTTTAACTAAATTTTGAAACATCTCCTAATTTAAAACCCTCCTGCCTTCTTTTAATAAACTCACACCCTTCTGCTTAGGGACCGTTTTGTGCCACGCCCCAAAAAATGCAATAAAAGCCTTATGTATTCATATTTTTTTCCACTTTAAATTAGCCAATCTTTTAAAACTACTTCTCCCTGAAATATTAATTTCAAGTTTTAATTATATTTTCGTTGTTTTAACCCTTTTAATCGCAGTTTAATTACATGAGCGCACTGTTTTTTTAGCCCCAAAAAACAAAAAAACTAAATATTTTCAAAAAAAAACATTTGAAGTAATATTTGATTGTTATTATAATTAGGCCTTTAGATGGACAAAAGATTGGCACCAACATTCATTTTGACCTGCCATTATTTTTTTTGCAGGAGCACATTAAAAAATGCATGCCTAAGGACAATTCCCCAAAAAGTGCAATAAAAATATTAAATATTAATTTTTTTTTTCACTTTAAATTGGTCAGTCTTTTAAAACTACTTCTCCCTGAAATATTCATATAAAGTTTTAATTATATTTTCGTTGTTTTAACCCTTTAAATCCCAGTTGTATTACATGAGCGCCCTGTTTTTCAGCCCCAAAAAACAAAAAAACTAAATATAAAAAAAAACAAAAACATTTGAAGTAATATTTTATTGTTATTATAATTAGGCCTTTAGATGGACAAAAGATTAGCACCAACATTCATTTCGATCAACTTTTAATTTTTTTTGCAGAAGCCGAAAATGGTCTCCAGGCGGCGCTGCTGCTCCTGCTCCCCGGGGAGGAGTGTCTCTGCCGCGGGTGTGTCTCGCGCAGCGCCGGGGCATATGGTTCGGTTTCCGTGTCTCCAGCACACGTGTCCGATACCACGTGACAACAAATACGTCATTTCCTGTTGATTTAAAAAAAAAATCCACACTCTCACCGACCTGGGGACCATAAATTGTCCCGCCAGATCAGCGAGCGCAGCCGCTGATGCAAGCCGGGAATCAGTCCTCCTTTCCCGCAGGTCTGTCTCGAGCTGCCCGCTGGAAAGGGGTATTTCCGAGCAGGCATCAAATGTGAAACAAGGGCGCCACCTGGTGGACAAATAAAAAAAATACAACTCTAAGGCCTCTACTACAAAACGAAACCTAAGCTGGATTCATGACGATCCCTTTGACCGTAAATTTTTTAGCCGTGAAAAATAGCGTTTATAATGGAAGTAAATTGGCACAAAACGGTCCCAAGGAAGGAGGGTGTGGGGATTTTTGCTGCTCAGCCATTTTAGATTGATTTAAGATATTCACCCTGAAATATTAAAATTGACAGTAAAAAACTATCTTTTGGCAAGTTTGGTTATATTCCACTGAACACAGTGGAAATGGCAGCCATTTAACACATAAAAGTGGCACAAAAAGGTCCCAAGAAGGCAGGAAGGTTAAAAAGTTGTTGAGTATGTTGTTACAGAATGCTTCAATCACAGTGAAACACTTTATTATAGGTGGTTTTGACACTGTCAAAAGACCTGTAGCAGTTGGTGTGGTTATGCTGATAATCTATATACTAGCTATTTTTGCCAATACAGTAAACATCCTCTTCATTATTTTTGACAAGAGATTACATAAACCAATGTATCTTCTGGTTTGCAACCTTGCTGTTGTTGATATAATGTACACTTCCAGTGCCACTCCAACAATGATTGGGGTTCTCCTTGCTGATGTTAAAACCATATACGTGGACTGCTTAATTCAAATGTGTGTTTTCCACTTAGCAATGGTGATGGAACGGTTTGCTCTAGCAATTATGGCATTCGATCGATTAATTGCTATAATTTTTCCTTTTCATTACCACAGTTATTTGACAAATACACGTACTGTTGTTCTTACATATATCTTATGGATTATTGGATGTGGTACTGTTGTCTTGTTTCCTGCAACAGTTATCCCTCTCCCTCATTGCACCTTGAAGCTTAAGTACACTTTCTGTGATTATGCTGCCATAATGCGAACCACTTGTGTCAATGTTGATGAGTATTTCAACCAAAGTGCCATTTGGTCATTTTTTATTTTATTTTTCACTTTCACTTTCATTTGTATTTCATACTGTGGAATCTTATTTTGTGTGAAATTATCTTCAAATAATGACAAAAAGAAAATGGGCAGCACTGTTGTGAGTCATGCAATTTGTGTAACATGCTTTTACTCTCCTATATTTATTATTGTCATCTTGACTAGAGTTGGCGTGGTATTATCTCTTGACGAACGTCAGGGTTTATTGATAGGAAACATTCTCGGTCCATCTCTTGTAAATCCTTTTGTGTATTGTCTTAGAACAACAGAAATTAAAAATAAGATGGTTAAGATATTCAAAAAGATTCTTAGACTCTTGTGAGCTGAGTGTGCTTTTCTATTATAATAATTACTATACATGTTTTGTCTTTTTCCCCACTGAAGTTTTGTGAATATTATATATGTAAATGGTTGTAAAACATCTTCCACTTCATCACATCTGATTTTATTTGTTTTTTATTGTGAGTTTATACTAGCATCCTAACAACTCTAAAAATGGCTGTTTTGTATGTGTGTGTTCTAAATCATACTTTTTTTTTTCCTTAATCAACAGAAGCTAATCATTATGAATAATTGCTTTCAACCTCAGAAAATATTGCTTTGTGGAACAGCTCTTAAGTTTTGTTTAACTACATGTTAAATGAACACAAGCATTTGATATCTGAAAACAGCACATCTTTCATTCTCTTTCAAGAAATATTCAAATGACTAATTGATAGGTTATTATTTATTTGTTTTTATTGGGGTTTAAATTGATCCATTCCTTGACTGTCTTAAGACAAATGAGATTAAGAATTTTTTTTTTTTTTTTACAATTAAACTAGCTAGAGTTTTGTGGAGTGTAGGCATGGTTTTTTTTTTGTGCAAAATGACATTAAAAAATATTTATCAATTCTTAATTGTATTCTCTTGTCGAGTTTATTTGAGTATAACTCTAACCCACCTTGTAAATCATTGTTTTGATGGTTACTGATGGTTACTGTAGTGGCTATATTAATTTTCTACTTTCTTTCTACTTTCTTTCCACATTGTGGGTGCCGCAGCCTGCCACTGAAGGAGCTGCTCAGTGCTGTCAGAGTCTCCTGCATGAGGTGGGAGATGTTGTCCAATAGGGATGACACCTTAGCCGCCATTCTCCTGTCACTCACCACCTCCACTGGGTCCAGAGGGCATCCTAGAACAGAGCTGGCCCTTCGGATCAGCCTGTTCAGTCTCTTCCTGTCCCCAGCAGAGATGTGGCCACCCCAGCAGACCACACCATAAAAGATGGCTGAGGCCACCACAGAGTCATAGAAGGTCTTCAGGAGTGGGCCCTCTACTCCAAATGATCCGAGTCTCCGCAGCAGGTACATCCTGCTCTGCTCTTTCCTGTAGAGGGCTTCTGAATTATGAGTCCAGTCCAGTTTATTGTTCAGATGAACACCAAGGTACCTGTAGTTGTCCACAGCCTCGATGTCCATACCTTGGATGTTCAGTGGTTGCAGTGGAGGATGTTTGTGCCTGCGTAAGTCTACCACCAGCTCCTTGGTTTTACTAGTGTTGATCTGAAGGTAGTTCAGCTGGCACCAGTCCACAAAGTCTTGGGTCAGTTCTCTGTACTCCTTGTCATCCCCATCAGTGATGAGGCCGACTATTGCGGAGTCATCAGAGAACTTCTGCAGGAAGCACTGGGTGGAGTTGTGGGAGAAGTCTGCAGTGTAGATGGTGAAGAGGAACGGAGCCAGAACCGTTCCCTGTGGGCCCCCGTGCTGCAGACGACCTTGTCCGACACACAGCCCTGAGTTCTCACATACTGTGGTCGGTCAGTGAGGTAGTCCAGAATCCAGTGAGGTAGTCCAGAATCCATGTCCAGAATCCACTCCTGAGTTCTCCAGCTTGTCCTTCAGGACCGTGGGAAGAATGGTGTTGAAGGCACTGGAGAAATCAAAGAACATCATTCTCACAGTGCTCCCAGCGGTCTCCAGGTGAGAGAGGGAACGATGTAAGAGGTGGATGACGGCATCATCTGCTCCAATGCCAGGTTGGTAGGCAAACTGAAGTGAGTCCAGTGATGAGCTCACCAGTCGCCGAAGCTGAGCTAGGGCCAGCCGCTCCAGGGTCTTCATCAGGTGGGATGTCAGAATCACTGGCCACTAGCAGTTGAGGTCCTTGGGGCGTGAAGTCTTTGGCACTGGTACAACACAGGAGGTTTTCCAGAGTATTTTGGAAAACCAGTATTGGTCTTTCACGTGGAATTCCAATAAAATTGATTCATGTTTGTGGCTGTAATGTGACAAAATGTGGGAAAGTTCAAGGGGGCCGAATACTTTTGCAAACCACTGTATATGTGACACATTGTGGTTAATTGGGTGAATAGATTTATATTTGTCCAACCAACTATATAACATTCTTTTACATTTTCTTTCTTTTTGTATTTCTGGGCACTGATTTTCCCTCATTCATACCAAGGCATTATGTGTTACATGTGAATCATTTCTTAACTGTTTATTCTATATTTGTCATTGGGCTGTCCTAAAAATGCCCTGAAAAGTCTTCAGTTCTATATCACCACTGTAAGATTTGGGAGAGGCACCATTTAAAGGATTTTTAAAAAAATACTTTCCAGTGTGTTTGGTGTTTAACATTTATTTTGAAATGTTGCCTCCTCTCCTGTTTATTTTAGTTATTTTCACCTGGAATAATCTATAAAATCTACAAGAATATCTTCAACTAACAACTGTATTGTACCTTTTTGTCACTCTGCTTTGGCAGTCAGCATTCTCTGTGAAATCTTCAATTCAACTGAATACCATCCCTGATACCATTAAGTATTCCAGCTTTTATACCACCTTTAAAACAGATTAAAATATGATATTTAAAAGTAGAATAGGAGGGAGACCCTTCAGCTTTCAAACCCCTCTTCTGTGGAACCACCCCTGGGGGCTTCCCATGATGAGTGTTTTTTCTTAACTCACCTTTTTCGCTGACCATGTGTTTATATACCACTACACATTTAATCACGAGTTGTTATTAATATCTAGCTCTCTGCAACAGTGTGTCTTTTGTTTTGTCTTCCTCTAATCTGAGATTGTATGTTTCACTGAAACTTTTCAAAGTATTTCTGACATGTTAAAACAACTGCTGGGGACCCAGAGTTAAACAGCTCCAACTACTTGAGGATCTGGGCATAGACACAGTTGTCACAAGTGAATGGGCCAAGTTTGAGACCCTTGTCAGTCTATTTGAACCCTTTACCATTTATGCAGAAAGCCTTCAGAATGACAGCCAGCCAGTCTCACAAGTAGTGCTGTCTGTTCAACCTTGAGGCACATAAACTGATTAATCGGTTTAGCAATCTGTTAGTTGAAGTGCTGCTTTTTGAGAGTAAGAGAGTAACATTTGCTGATATTCTTAATCGTGATTTTACGTAATTTGATGTTGCACAATCTAGAGCCTGGCTGTTGGACTTAAATGTTTCACTGATTCTTCAATAATCAGTTAAAATGTTGCTGATAAGAGCAGGACAGCCCTTGGTACAGACTCCCAGTCCATCCTCATCCCTCCATTGGAGGGGATGACATCAAATATCTGAAATCTCTGGCGATATGTAAATACAAAAATTGCCAAGCCCTATGTCTAGTGTGAGTGGATGAATGAGCTGCCAACTGAAAACTTGTGGGCCTTTAAATACCAAAGTCTACACTTTGCCTGGTTAACCCACAGCTGTTTGGGTGTGCCACAGTTATTTCTTCATAACAATTTTATATGGCTGGTAAAGACTTATATTTATATATTTAGATATTTAACCTCTTTCTTTCCTTGAAAAAGTTCCTTATTTTTTTGTAACTCCAAAGCTTACATATTACATTTTTTTTCTTTTTCTTTTTTCTGAAACATATTTTACCACATTTTTCCTTTGAGACAAGTTGTTTCTGTCTTTTCTGCCTTAACAACCGCAATTTAAGATTTTGTTGAATATGTCATTACCAAATGCTTCGATCAAAGTAACACACTTTATTATAGGTGGATTTGACACAGTTAAAAGACCTATTGCTGTTGGTGTGGTTATGCTGATAACCTATCTACTTGCTGTTATTGCCAATGTGCTAAATATTCTCTTCATCATTTTTGACAAGAGATTGCATAAACCAATGTATATTCTGATTTGTAACCTTGCTGTTGTTGATATACTGTACTGCTGCAGTACCACTCCCACAATGATTGGGGTTCTACTTGCTGGTGTTAATACCATATCCTATGTTGAGTGTTTCATTCAAATATCTGTTTTCCACTTAGTAGGAGTGATGGAGTTGTTTGCTTTAGCAATTATGGCATTTGATAGATTAATTGCTTTTTCTTTTCCTTTTCAGTACCACAGTTATTTAACAAATACACGTACTCTTGTTGTTACATACATTCTGTGGGTTGTTGCCTCTGGTTTTGTTGCTGTTATGCCGGTAACTGCAGCTACGCTTCCTTACTGTACCTCAAGGATGAAGTACGCTTTCTGTGACTATGCTGCTGTAATACGTACCACTTGTGTTGATCCTAATTACTATTTCAATTTAGTCTCAGTCATGATGTTTTTTCTTTTATTTTTCACTTTTTCTTTCATTGGCCTTTCATATTTTGTGATTGCATTCTTAATGAAATTTTCATCAAATAGAGATAAAAAGAAAATGGCAAGCACCTGTGTGAGTCACTTGATTGTAGTAACATGTTATTATTCTCCTTTATTTGTTCTCATTGTCTTCACCAGAGTGGGTGTGGTATTAACACTTGAGGAATGTCAGGGTTTATTGATTGGGACCATCCTTAGTCCATCTCTTGTAAATCCTGTTGTGTACTGTTTCAGGACAAAGGAAATTAAAAATAAGATCTTTAAGATATTCACAAAAAAGGCTGACATACTCAACTAGATTCTTATGAACTGTGACTGTACAAATAAAAGATGCATAATTTTTTAGTCCAAATACTGTGCTGAAATGATGACATTACTATTTTGACTGTCTCTAAGAATATCTCCCCCTCATTAAACAACCAATTATGCAAAGAAAACAAAGGTTAAAAAATACATTTTTGTGCTGTGTTTGGAAGTCTTAAACTTTCTATGCACCTTTTTGGCTGAAGAATTGTAAACTCTTATTATTTTTGTAACTATCATAACAATATTTACTATTAGCTGTTAATAACAAGTGGTAGGGATATTAAAAGTAGCAAAAAAAAAAAAAAAAAAAAACCAAAGCCACACACACAAACAATAAAAACACTACAATGCACATAAAACTGCATTAATTGCAAATTGCATAGAAATCAAAGTATAAGTAAATATCCAACAGAAAAATGTTTTTCATTAGTGTTACATGGATTAAGTTTACTTCTGCAAATGTTTAAACTTGAGCTCATTCTAAATATGTCATATTCTGTTGAATCTACAGTAATACATTATTTTATGTAAAAATCATATGTTTGTAGTTTGGCTGTTAATGAGCTCTAATGCAAAGGCCTACATCTAGGCCTAGGGCTTTAATATACACTAAAAAAAAGTATATTAAATAGCTTCATAAAATAAAATAAAAATCAGAGCTGAATAATAATTGGCAATTGACAAAGCATCAATAACTTTTTAATTCATTTTCTTTTATGATTTCTTACCTCTATTTATATATATAACTATTTTCCTAGTATGCAATCTGATATTTGATAAAATATTAACTTCATCAGGTTTTTTTTTCAAAATGAACAGCACTGTAATTTATATTTAAACTTTTCTTTTAAATCAAGAAAATATATTAAATAATGTACAAATGGCTTAAAACATATTATGTTTCATGTAAAATTGACGTTAATAATATTTTTGCACCAAGGATGGTTAAACTTGTTGGACTTTGATTTTTTGTGATTAATATACTCAGTCTTATGTGAAAAGTATTTTGTTTCATCGTCAAACACTTACATGATTATATTTCAGCATTTTTGAAAAATAAATTGGCAGTCTGTGTCCAGTTTCATTTCAGTCTTTCTTGATACCTCATCATCATAATTCCTACACAACAAGTTAACATCAATGTATATGTATAACAGTGCAATTCACAAGCTTATATGTTACGGTCTGATATGTATATAACTGAGTTATAACTGAGTGACAACCGTTATAATCACTCAGTTATTTTGTCTTTTTAAGATCATGGTGTTATTATTCTAAAATGACTAGCTGTTACCTAACAAATTTAATGTTTAATAATGGGTAGTCATATTGCCCTTCCTTTTCAGTTAGATTCATATTTGTCACACATGTTTCAGATCATAAAAGAAATATTAATATTAGACAATAGATAACGTGGATAAAAGATAAAAGGCACTTTTTAAATTATATTTTTAATTTACAAATGAAAAAGAAAAAACTCTAACTCCCCTTTTTTGAAAAGTAATTGCCTGTAATACCCATACCTGATAACTAATAACTGGTAGTGTTACCCTTGGCAGCAAGAACTGCAAAAACATATTCACAATAACTGACAATGAGTCTTTCACGGTTTAGTGAAGCAATTTTGGCCCACTCTTATTTGTTTTGATTTAGCCACATTGGAGGGATTTCCAACACGAACAGTCTGTTAGAGGTCATACCAAAGCATTTCAATCCGATTTGAGTCTGGACTTTGACTAGACCACTTCAAAACATGATTCATTAATTTTTTAACACATTTTATTTATTAATATATATATCTTCTGACTTTTTTTAGAGTTGGTGTTATGGCCCGTCTAGGCGCGGCCAGACCACAACATAAAAGGCGATCCACCCCTACATGCTCCTACATTAAACCAACATAGTTAAACAGTGACCACACGGTCTGCCAGTTGGGTTGGGCCGAGAATGAATGACCTGGCAGTCCCTGGTGGTGTCTTCTTATGCGCTGCCTCCTGGTCATTAGCCAATCTGTACGGTCCATCCACCCATAGCTGGACTGGCCATCGGTCATACCGGGCATTTGCATTAACAGTTATATCGTTTTATCAGTTAGTTGCTGTAACTTATCCTTCTCAGTGCCAAAATTACATTCATAAGCCCTTTTGGTGCAGGAGTGAAGGGGAAAAGAGAAAGCTAACATATTGTAGTGCGTCCACATTGGGAAAATGTCCAGATATTTATGAGGCAGTATGAAGTATGAATTTGACAGAAGGGTGGATTATTGGTCTTTATAATGGCAAGCACTAAAAGTGCTTCTATTTTTCAGCCATGCAACATTTCTATACTGGGCAATACCATGATACCACAGTATAAGAAATTCAGACTATCAAATACTCATTTAAAATGTTACAAGTGATATATAAATAGCTTCTATTCATTATAGCAGGGCAGGTACAGGAACCGCAATGCAGATATACAGATTAAAATAAGAACTGCAATTAGGAAACACAGAACAAAACTGGGAAGCAAAACAAAACCCAAGCAAGCAAACAAACAAACAAACAACAACAAAAAACAAACAAAAAAAACTTTATGTAATATTAAATAACGTGTGACAATCTTAGCCATAAATGAACAAAACGAAATAGACCTATGCTAAATTATTGAAACAGTAAAGCATGTATGGGTCGCCAATGCTCAGTAAACAATTCTCTCTGAATCCGCAGAGCATACAGGGAGTGCAGAATTATTGGGCAAATTAGTATTTTGTCCACATCATCCTCTTCATGCATGTTGTCTTACTCCAAGCTGTATAGGCTCGAAAGCCTACTACCAATTAAGCATATTAGGTGATGTGCAGCTCTGTAATGAGAAGGGGTGTGGTCTAATGACATCAACACCCTATATCAGGTGTGCATAATTATTAGGCAACGTCCTTTCCTTTGGCAAAATGGGTCAAAAGGAGGACTTGACAAGGTCAGAAAAGTCAAAAATAGTGAGATATCTTGCAGAGGGATGCAGCAGTCTCAAAATTTCAAAGCTTCTGAAGCGTGATCATCGAACAATCAAGCGTTTCATTCAAAATAGTCAACAGGGTCGCAAAAAGCGTGTGGAAAAACCAAGGCGCAAAATAACTGCCCATGAACTGAGAAAAGTCAAGCGTGCAGCTGCCAAGATGCCACTTGCCACCAGTTTGGCCATATTTCAGAGCTGCAACATCACTGGAGTGCCCAAAAGCACAAGGTGTGCAATACTCAGAGACATGGCCAAGGTAAGAAAGGCTGAAAGACGACCACCACTGAACAAGACACACAAGCTGAAACGTCAAGACTGGGCCAAGAAATATCTCAAGACTGGTTTTTCTAAGGTTTTGTGGACTGATGAAATGAGAGTGAGTCTTGATGGGCCAGATGGATGGGCCCGTGGCTGGATTGGTAAAGGGCAGAGAGCTCCAGTCCGACTCGGACGCCAGCAAGGTGGAGGTGGAGTACTGGTTTGGGCTGGTATCATCATAATAATCATAATCATACATAAAATTAGCATGATATACAACACAAACTCTTAAAAAAAAACAGTTATTCCCAGTGACAAAACTGGGTATCATATCATAACTGGAAAAAGTTATATTGCTGTATAACTAATACAGTATAATATTTTACTCAAATATATAACATAGTTGAAGTGGAAAGTAGCATGACAGTGCAAAAACTTAAAACTTGTGTCCCTCTATTCTGAATTTGACCATTCATTTTCATTTTAATCACTTTGGCTGTGTTGGTATTTACGGTTTCCTCGGCCTGTCTTAAAAATGTATTGCTTTTTACTTTTTTGCATTTGAGTCATTTCTTAAATGCTTGCACTTTGGGGTTATTTTCTTGCTTTCCATTTGGATTATTGTTCTTCTACTATGAAGGATACCAAAACAGTGCATTTAACAAAAATATTGGATTGATGTGTGCCTGTATATATGGATGTCAGACAGTGTGGTGCAATTTGTCTTTTTTTATACAGATATAGTTTTATCCTCGTTGGATCTTGTAGTGGGCATCATGGATGAGAACAGTCCCTCCATCATAAAACCTCCAAAGATTAAAAAGTCATATTTAATTCCTTACGTGTAAAGAAGGCAAACCAATGGATTATCAGCACTTTGGCGGTCAAAACATCACCATAAGAGCAGAGGATGGCAAAGAAGTAAGTTAGATGCACCAGAGAAACTGGGCCTTTGTAAAAGCCACTGAAATACACAATGCAGAACTTTCAGAAGCACACTGAAGAATCTTCATCAAAAACTGCATTCCTGTACAATTTGCGTTCCTTTGCATGCTTATTCGGGTAGATGAATCAAAAAGAAAATAATACTTAATAAACTAACATTAAAATGGTCTCTACATTTTTCATGGGGCAAAGAGTTCTCTAACTTTTAGAAGTTATCTCAACTTACAGTGCAAAATGCTGAAGAATAAGTCACCAAATGTTGAGTCACCAAACCCTTTGAGGCTCATTACTGGAGCTAAGTACTGAGGGTAAATCACTCTAGAGGGCTGAGTATGACACTTGTTTCCTATCAACACTTTGTAAACAAAGAAGTCATTAAGCTAATGAGCAAACGCAAGATGAAAACAGTAACAAATTCTAGGCAACCATAATACAGTGAAAGTTGTGTCTTGTTTTGTAACAAAGTTCAGTTGGACAAACAATGAGAGATAGTCAACTCCTTATATTTGTATATTATATATTATTATTGCATTGAGTTTGGTTTTAAAGCCTGATAATATTAGACCAATATATTCCAACTTTTATTTCATCTTATTTTGTTTTATTTTATTTATTTTTAACAGGTGTTCCCAGTGCTTCAAAGCAACAGGAAAAAGAGTTAAGAGTTAAAAGTGTGTTCAACTGTTTTTCAATTCTATTGCAAATGAAATATGGGATTATTATTCAAAGTCAAAGTGAACTTTATGGTCATCTCTTTTTTTTTTTTTTTTTTTTTGCCTGTCCCATTTGGTT